AGTGTTTTCATAGGTATGTGCAGCCATCACCATGGCCAATTTTAGAATGTTTCATCACCTTAAAAATAAACCCTGCATCCTTTGACCTCCAGATTCTACCCCCTGTCCCTGCACCGTCCCTAGCAACACTGATCTCTTCTCCATGGATGTGCCTCTTCTGTTCATTTCATATAAGTGGAAAGATACCCTATGTGGTTCTTTGGTACCTGCTTCTTTTGTTTAACATATGTTTCCGAGGTTTATCCCTGTTGTAGTGTATGTTGTACTTCATCCCTTTTCAAGCCTAAATAATATTCCCATTGAATGGATATACCACACTTTGTTTATCATTTTTTCAGTGTTGGATGCTTGGGTTGTTTCCATCTTTTGGCTCTTATGAATAATACTGCTTGAAACATTTATGTACAAGTTTTTTGTTGTTTGTTTTGTTTTTGGTACCGAGGACTAAACCCAGAGGTATTTTACCACTCAGCTACATCTCCAGCCCTTTTTAAAATTTCCAATTTTGAGACAGGATCTTGCTAAGTTGCTTAGGACCTTGATAAGTTGCTGAGGTTGGCCTTGAACTTGCAATACTCCTGCCTCAGCCTCTGGAGTCTCTGGGATTGAATCAGAGACATGCAGCACTGTGCCCAGCTTCATATACAAGTTTTTGTGTCAACATGTTTTCCTTTCTTTCAGGTGTATACCTAATGTTAGAATTAGTGAGGTGTAAGGCAACTGTTTGACATTCTTAGAAACTACCAGAGTATGTTCCAGAATGACTGCATTGGCTGGGAACAGTGATGCACGCCTGTAATCCCAGCTCCTCTGGAGGCTGAGACAGGAGGATCATGAGTTCAAAGTCAGCCTCAGCAACAGTGAGGTGCTAAGTAACTCAGTGAGACCATGTCTCTAAATAAAATTCAAAATAGGGCTGGGGATGTGGCTCAGTGGTCAAGTGCCCCCGAATTCAATCCCTAGTACCCCCTACACACACACACACACACACACAAAAATAAACCCAGAAATGGCTGCACCAGGTTACATTTGAGGGTCCAGTTTCTCTACATCCTCACCAGCACTTGTTAACATCTGACTTTTTTTCTAAGACAATCTAATTTGGACTGAGGGTCTTCCTAATGGGAGTGGTGGGGCAATGGTAACAGTAGTTGTGCCTGTAGGATAGGAAGAAATAGTATATTCATCTCAAAATATGATCTCATGATTCTGCTAAATGCCTGTTTTTAGTTTTTTGTAACCGGGGATTGAACCCACGGGTGCTTAATCCCTGAGCCAGGTCCCTAACCTTTTTTATGTTTCTTTTGAGAAAGGGTCTTACTAGGGCCTCTCTAAGTTGCTGAAGCTGGCTTTGAACTTACAATCCTCCTGTCTCCGCCTCTAGAGTCTTTGGGATCATAGTTGCGCAACCACCGTACCAGCAAGGTCTCTCTGTTTTATCAACTCATTCCCCAAGCCCGTGTGCTTGGTGCCATGGGAAACAGAGGATCTGGGGATCTTGCCCAAGAGATCTGGGCCCTTCATGTCCAATTCCAGCTCAGGGAGGCAATTTCTGTCTGCATTCCACTTTCTTAGAGACTCCTGCATCCCACTCACTCTACCCCATTTGGTAGGAGCCTTATAGTTCTGGTAAACAGAGGAAAAATAATAAATCTTTATTTCTATTTCTTTCTTTCTTTCAGAAAAAGCAAAAGATGAATCAGTCAAAAAGGACAGACCATATAAGGTCTTTTTCAAAGATCTCTTTCTTTTCAAAGAAAATGAAATGGCAGCAAAGAAAAGGGTAAGCTTTTATTAAAAATCACAATCCCAATTAATGTTATAATCATATCCTCTTATTCATCATTCTTATGAATTTTTATGGTGTCAGATATGAGGACTCACATGGTGTGTGCCCCATACTGTCCTGGGGAGACACCCAGCACAAGGCAGGGATCTGCAAAGATCGCCACCCAATGGCAGAAGACAGGTATTACAATCCAGTATGGCAACTACAAAGTACCCTACTCCATCAACACCCACGTTGTTCACATTTTTGCATTTCTAAAATTGGAATGCAGCTTCCATAGATAGGATGTCATTGGCCATGCATAAAATAATAGTGCTTCTTTTTTTGGCACTAGGCATTGAACCCAGGGGCCCTTAACCACTGAGCCACACCCCTAGCCCTTTTTGTATTTTATTTAGAGACAGTGTCTCAATGAGTTGCTTAGGGCCTTGCTAAATTGCTGAGGCTGGCTTTGAATTGTAATCCTCCTGCCTCAGTCTTCCAAGCCTCTGGGATTACAGGTGTGTGCCACTGCACCCAGCTAATGCTTTCTTAAAATAAGTGTCATCTTAGAGTTGACGGGCTACTGTAACAGAGGCGTCAAAGGAAACACAGACAAAGGTCTGCCCACCTTTACCGGTGAGAAGAGAGAACAGGGTGGTGGTGATGTGTAGGCAAAGACTTCACTGAAATAACAGGAGCAGAGTCTCCAAGAAGAAGTCAAAATTGGCTGAGCTGACAAGATATGTGGACAGACAATATTATGTGTTGGGGAGTGGGGAGGAGGAAGAAGGGATAAGAGTGGAGGAGGGGGTACCATTTCAGAATGATCTGGTGTAGAGCTATGCCAGTG